CAGGATTCCCTAAATTCTCAATCTCTTTCCCGACAAATCGACCTTCTCAATTGCCTTTTCATATTTTATCTCCTTCACAATCAATATCATGCTTTTATTTTTCTCAGTCGTCTTTACAGATCCGGCCTCATTCAAAGTCACCAAATCTTGTTCGTCTCCTTTCTTTTGCACACCATGGAAATCTCCCAATATCCACTGTAGTTCTTCATTCTCTTCCTTAGTTAATTCCTCGTCTTCGACCCAAATCACCTCAAGTGAATCCGATAATTCATCTTTCGGCGAACTCACAAAAAATTGGGGTTCTTTGAAAAAATCACCGTCGTCCTCTTCCTCTTCCTTTTGCGGTAGGCTTGGCATTGGCGGCGGCGGTGGATCTTCGAAAAAGTTATCGTCGTCCTCGTCCTCTTCCTCCGGCGATAGGCTTGGCGACGGGGGTAGTGGTGTTGTTGGTTGGCGGTGGCGGTCTCTTCGGCTCTTATGTTGGCGCCGTCCTTGACTTTGTTCGAGCATCTTTTGGAGACCAATCCGTATCTCCTCCACGGATTTTTCCAATCGCTCTAAACGTTTTCTCTCGGACGACATAATTTCGCAAAGTGTTGATGTAATCTCAACTTTGCTCCAGCGTAGCTTTGATATAATCTCTGCCTTGCTAACGAAGCGTTGGTGTTAATCGCAACTTCGCTCTGATACCAATTGATGCGATCTCTTGAGTATCATAAATATTTCCTACGAAACGTAAGATCTATTATTTATTATTTCTCTCTGCATAATAAAACCCTAGCACAAGACGACTATTTAAATATAAGAAAACCCTATAATCCTAATTTAACTAGAAAAGATAATTACCTAAACTAATAAAATACTTAATAATTCTCCTAACCTAAACACACGGCTATGTATATAATAAACATAACAAACTATTCTAATTAATTAATAATAAAAATACTAACTATCTAATAATTAAACGATATATATTAATATGGGGTAATTTTCTATAGAACCCCCATTACTAGATTCTATAGGTATTAACCCCATTACTAGATTCTATAGGTATTAACCCAACTCATAAGTCCAATTTTGCTAGAACACCCTACAATTAATTATGGCCAATATACCCTTAAATAAAATAGGAAATTTTTAATTTTAAATCAATAAATAGCAAATTTATTCCCCGTCAACCCATCTAGCAAAAATAGGGCCGCGATTATCTCGATCGTTGAATCTCTCCTAGAAACAAAAAAATTCTCTCCCTTTTTATGCGAAACAAATACTGTAATCCTAGAAAAAATCGTGAAATTGATTTTTCTAATATATCGTTGTTCTCGACGTCTCGTAGATGTAAATCTCAAAAAAAAAACGAGAGACAATGATTAAAGATGGAAAAAGTACAGGCGATTTGCTCTTCTATATCTGTTCTTTTATGTTTTTAATGACGATTTATTCACGAATTGTCATGAAAATTTTGATCAATGGATCGAAAGATGTTGATATTGATTCTTCGACCCCAATTACCATATCTGTTTTTATGTGAAAATCATTGGCTTCTTGCTTTTGATTTTGCTGTTTTTGTTACATAACTTTTTTGATGTCGATTGCAACATGTTATCGGTTTTTTCGCATCATAACAGCAAAGTGCAAAATAAACAACAGCACGTTATTGGTTTCTTGCTTTTGATTTTGCTGTTTTTTGTAGATTTTGCACTTTTCTATTTATTTTGGATTTTGCTTATATTATGCGTATTTTGCTTTTATATTATATTTCATTTCGACTTTGTTGTTATCATAGTGTAAGTTGCATTTTACTGAAATATTTGCCGTTTGGTGTCGTAATAAATGGTTTCATCTATCATAACAAAATACTTGTTGAAAATAACTTATTTTCACTGTATCATTTGCATTTTGCAGTTTGTTGTTGACAATTGCATTTGGATATAGTTATTTGCATACTATTATTTGGTTGTTGTTGCCACTATTTTGTTAATGTTGTTGAAGTTTATATTTTTATGTTGTTGTCTGCAACTTGAAGTTTGTTATGTTGTCCCTTTAGACGGTTTTCATTTTCACTTTTGCAGTTCTGCATATTTTAATTTGCAGCTCGTTATTGCAAATTATTAATAGTTTTTTTTTCTTCTTTGGGAATAACTATGAAAGGTTTCACATATTTTTTGGTTCTCTTCCTAAACTCGTATTAAAGTTAATGTGTGTGTGGCTTTTTTTTTCTTTTGTATTTTGTCGTTTAATAAATTATTGCATATTGCGAGTAATTGTATTTTTTGCATATCGTTGTTGCAACTTCGAATATTGTATTTCTCTATAGGGATTCAATGATGCGTTTTGATATTGTAATATGCATTGATGCAAATTTGTGCATATTTTAATTAGAAGCTTTTTTGGTTGAACTCGTAGTTTACTGTCGCTACAACTATAGGCCAGAAGAAAACAAACAAGAGATTCATTAGAGGTTGATGCTACTGACACGATCATGTTTCTAGAAGATCCCCGATGACGTTTGGAAGTTATGAATTCAGTCGGACGTCGAGACTATGTCCGTTATGACATCAACCCAGTCATAATTAATTATGATAGATTGTAGTTTGTTCATCTTTTATTTCATATTTTATATTTTAAAATATTGTTCGAGGAAGAATAAACTTGAACCTCTGATGTTTGAGCAAATTATTATTAGTTCCACATTGTGTTGTTGTGAAAAGACATTTGTAAAATAATATTTTTCCCATATGGTAGGTGATTCCGTATTATATTTATTTTGCTATTTATTTTTGCTGTTATAAATTGCAGTTTGTATGTTGCTAATTGCATTTTGCAATTTGTTGTTGTAACTTGACACAAGTATTTTGCAATTTTGCTATTTATTTTTGCTGTTATAAAATAGAAAATAAAAATAAAAAAATAAAATAAAAAGGAGAGAGAGAGAGAGACGTGATTGAGAGGAGAGAGAGAGAGAAGAGAGAAGAGTTAAATGAGAGAAAAGAAAGGGAGGGGGAGACGTGAGGGAGAAGAGAGAGAGAGAGAGAGGGGAGGTAAATGGGAGAGTGAAATGTGGGATTTTATTCATATTTTTCATAACTAACTACCTTAATATAAATAATAATTAAGGGTATTAGTGTCAATAGAAAAATAATTTAATTATTTTATATTACATTTATTGGTCAAGGGACCTATAACTATAATCAACTAACAAAATGGACCCCCAGTCATATAAGTTCCAAATAAGGGGGTTCCAGCTAATTATCCCTATTAATATATCGTATCAGACGGTTGAAGAGTGCATTGTAAAGATTGATGTGTATTGCGGTAGAGTCATCCCATATCGGAATAGTCTCTATTTCCCGGCGACCATTAAAGCTTAGCATTAGCAGTCCAGGTTAATATTTACTTGAGCTTTTTCTTAGATACTGTATTTATGCATTTAGGTAATTTGATATTATATGTTAGATGGATGCAGACACTGTTTTTTTTTTTCCCTTTTTTTTTGTTACTCGGAGTTAATTGACATTTTCAATAATCCCAATATAATTTTTTCTTTTTCGTAGTGCCAAATTATCACATCCTCCCTGGATAATCTGCCAAGCGTAGGAGTGAAAGTCGGAACATAATTTCAATTTTCCCCCGATTTTGATCTGAATTTTTTTAATTTTGGAGCACTTATTATTATTTTTTTTGTATCATTCCGATTTCCGAAAATTCCTATTTCCAATTTTTCGGGATATTTTTTGGATTGGAATTCGAAGGAATTTTCAATCCAATTTTAATTTTCGGATAAAATTACTAATTTTTTTATTTATTCTTCTACTACATTTATATACAATTACTAAAGATAGCCTAAAACGGCAAAAAGGAGATTAGCGTAAATGATCAGCTTACTAAACACCAAAAGGAACAAGGCGACTCCGACTCCATATGACGGAGTGAAAACTTTTGAGAATTCGTGGAAAATAAGATTGTAATATAATTTTTCTTCTTTTTCTTCTGTTTTTACCCTAAGAAATTCTTTTTTTTTGTTTGCTGGTGATTTGTGTTCGATGTTAATTGACTTATTTCATATTGAGGTGTGTGAGATTTTGTAAGTTGTTATCGAAATTATTTTGCTCGGGATAATTAGTGTGTGATCTTTAATATATTTATTATTGTGAAGAAAACTTGAATTTCATGAAGAAACTGATCAGTGAATGAGTACAAAGTTCAATATACTACCATTTGCTTCCCAAAAACATGTGACGAGCTTCGAAATAGCTAAGCTTCAATATATATCTTTTTGATATTACTAGGAAGGTGGGCGTGCGTGTACTCACAGAATCTCAGTTATGCTAATTTTTACCTCTTCATCGACCATTTCTCAGTGTTCTAAAAATCGGCCGAGGCGGAGGCGGTCCAAAACCTTTAGGATTTTGGTGTAGAGGTTTGAAAAATCAGGCGGTTTGAGGTGGTTTGAGGCGGTCCGAGGCGGTCAAACCTTTAAGGCGGGTCAAACTTCCGTAGCAAAAATCGGCAAAAAATGGGTAAAAAATCGGTTTTTTTTTTATAAATCAAACTAAAAGTTGGGATTTTAATAAAAAAATATGAGTTTATGCTTTATTTTTTTTATGTTAATTATTATTGTTAAAGAACTAATGATATATGCCAAGAATGTATGTAAATTCAAAAAAATTGTCTTTTTATTTATATTTTATAAGGATATTTATGTATTATAATCTTATTATTATTAAACTTTTATTATGTTATTAGAATATATACATGATGGAGATATAACTATGTTTAAAAAAAATTTTATCTATGTTTTGAGTATATTTATATATAATATCTACAAATATATTATATTAAATTTAAAAAACCGATTTATTTCCGATTTTACATCCTTACCATTTCTTCTTCAATTTCGTCAACATCTACATCCATATCATCCACCAAGTTGAGTGGTTGAACAACAAACTTAGTATCTCGTGACAATGGGTGGAACTTCTTCTGTTCTCCTATAATAATTATCTTGCCTCTCAAAATATTCCGCGATCCGAACTAACTTTTGAGTCACCTAGAGTGTAAAATTTATACAATTTCATCATATCACGAATTGGAGCATTTAATTTTTTCAATTGCCGCAAAATTTTCTTATTATATACTATATAAGTACTACTATTATACCCCTGTGTTATCTCTAATTCGCAAATACCCCTGTGAAAAAGAAAAAAAAAACTTACCAACACCCCTTTTTGTTAACAAAGTCAGGGCATCGAGACCCCTGGAGGCAAATCGTGTCACTCACTCGCGAGTTGTGCAATTTTTTATGGTTATTTTTGGGGTGAAATGTCATAAACACCCCTTTATATATAAAAAGAAACTTGTTGGTTAAATTATGAATAACCTAAATCTATAGGACCAAATTATAATTTCAAGAATTGCAATAGTATCCATTTGAACTTTCGATAGAATCCATCGTTTTTCTTTAGTTTCATTCATGTGGGAGATTGTTGGAAATTTTATTTATTAAAATAGAATTATTTTTTGAATGAAAATTAAAAAAGGTTTTTAGGCACCTATTTGACCAAATATGTGTGACAATATATGAAGAGGTGTGGCCACACCTTTTCATTTGTTTAATTTCCTACGGGTCGTGTTCATTACTCACAACCATTGAAAAACCTATAAATAAAAAGCTCCACATGTTTGATTATAATAACATAAAAATTAATTCAATTCCATAATTTTGTTCTATGGAATTCTTCTTTCTTTAGCCCGGAAATATTCTTCGTAGAATATTTTCTTCTGTATTCGATTCGAGAGTTTGAGACACAAAGTAACGTTCGTTGTACTCGGGATTTTGAGTGCTCGTATGCCGAGGTAGCCGTTGTATCTTGGGAGACCATTGTCAAATAACCGTAAGCACCGTAGCGGGGCAAATATCGTCTTAAGGAAAGAATTTTCTCGCATCGGCTAATCTTTTCGTATTTTCACTAATTAATTTGTTCGACAATTTTACTAAATTCACTACCGGTTTTATATACCGGGAACAACACCCCTCTCCCCCACACTCGTATGATTGTGCCTCCTACGAGCACAACCTGGCCACCTTGAAAGCCAAATTATATTCTTCCACCTGCCCACAAAACTAAACCCTCACCCCTGCCACCCCACGAATACATCGACGAGTCTTTCAACTTTGTGTGTTTCACGTCTTTACTAACTTCTTCGGATTGGAGTTTGGAATACGCTACAATCTATGGTCGGAAAAGAGCATATTCCAGGCGGAGAATGAAATTTCGATATAATCAGTGGTGCAACAAAACAGAAAAAACCTGAAACCCGAAAAAGCCCTTCCACTAATTTTGCAAAACAACGCCTTTTGTTTTTTTAAAATAACTCTCCTCGCAAAGCAAACCTGGTGTTCAATTAAATTCCTAATGAAACTAGCTTAGCCGCGCAATAACTCTAATCACCAATATCCTTTTTGTTTTGTTTTTTGCATAATTGCAAAAACCCCTTTTCCTTTTGGTGTTGACTAAGCTGATCATTTAAGATAATCTCCCTTTTGGAGTTTTTTGGCAAAAAGTACCATGTGAAATCTTTCACTGTAGAAAAGGTCTATGTAAAATTATAGTCACAGACAGTTAAATAGTAATATTGCAGGCCAATACATAAATATTAATGAAAAATAATTTCTTTTTTAAAGTGAGATCGACGGTCAACCAGTCGGAAAAATAAAATATGAAAAAAGAAAGTTTTCCAAAGAAAAAAAAACAAATTCAACTCCGGAAACCGGCAGTGGCAATCAAAGTTGGGATCAAAATTGGGATACGGGTCAAAATTGGTTAATTGATGAAATTGGGCTAAATTGGGATATAAATCATGATATTGGAGTTGAATTAGGGTTTCAATGATTTTTAGTATATATATAAAAGAGTTTTCCTTATTTGCAAATAAGTTTGAATGAGGTGGATTTATTTGCAAGACGAAAAAGTTGGATGTCCATTTTTTAATTAAGTGCTCTTGTCATGAACCAATTTTCTATTTACCCTTTTATGAATACCATTTTCATCTTATTAAAAAAAGTAAGATTGCTTTTGGTAACCCATAGGAAATTTTTCCCGCTCATTTGATAGTTATAATTGTCATTTATTTATTTAATTAATTATTTTTATAATTTATTTCATTTAATATAATCAAGTTTAATAAATCAATTAATTATCCAGATTTTTTGACCCTAAATCCATGTATCTTATTGGAATCTTATTAATAAATGTATGGTTGCTCCTCGTAAACCCCACAAAATGTTTTCCGTTCATTTTATAATTATAATTGTCAATTATTTATTTAATTAATTTTATTTTTTATGACTTCTTCGACCCTACACCTGGTGATAAATACCGGGTGGATCTTCTATTGCCACGTGGAATTTTTTGTATTTTATAATATATTCCCCCCAGTAGGGTTAACCTGTAGGGGTTTTAGAAAAATACAAAAAAAAGGACACGTGGCAGCAGAAGACCCACCCGATGTTTATCACCGGGTGTAGAGTCGAAGGAGCCATTGTTTTATTATATTTCATATAATCAAGTTTAATAAATCCGTTAAGTATCCAGACTTTTTGGCCCCAAATCTACGTATCTTTTTCTATTAAAATTGCCATTTTACTTAATATTAATTTTATGGGAAAATTATTTAATTGTTTAGAAAAACATTTGGTTCTTATCTTATTAATAAAAGTAAGGTTGCTCCTAATAAACTCTTGAGATTTAATGGCATAATTGATTTACAATAAATTTACAGAGGCCTATTATGGATGATAAAGAAGAAGATTTGTCAAACTTCTACATTACTGAGATAAGATAAATATAGAACCATAATACATAAAAACATAAAATTAAATTAATAAATATGGCAAAGAAAGTTTATGGATGGTGGATTATCATCAATGCATATAGCAAAAAATCAAAATGATAATTGAAACTTCAATTTTGTCGTTTAAATTGAACTTTACTTTGTATTAATTTTACTTTAATCCCGTGCATCGCATGAGCCAAAAATCTAGCGTGTAAAATAAAAGGTAAGTTCCAAATAATACATAACAAAATTATTTTCTAAAATAATTTATTTATAATTTCAACTCTGGGTCAAATTGCAAATACTACGAAATAACGGGCCAGAAATACAAAATCTGAAATCACATACATGGCCACGTTTCCCTAATCCACGTTCATTGAAGGACACTTTACAAATAAATTCATCAATGGGTACTTATTCATAAAGGGGTCCAAACGAAAAACTATTTTACAAAAAAGTTCACACATAGTCCAAAGGTTTGTAAAAGACTAAAATAGCCCCTCACATTTTAATATGCTCCAATTTCATCATTTGATTTAATTTAACTTCAATTTGACCCCAAATTTTATAAATTATTCAATTATGACCCAAAACACAATTTTGAGTACAATTTCATCCTCCGTCCCCGTTGACCGTCGGTCTCCGGCGGCATTCACTTTTCCTTTTATTTTCTTTAACATCATTTTGCCCCCGTTTAAACAATAATATTTGACAGTAATATTAACCATATTACTGTTAAACACAGTAATATTAACTATACTACAGTTTAACACAATAATATTGCTATATTAATATCTAGCACATTATTATTAACATAACAAAAGTCATTATTATTGTGTAATAGGGTAATAATAATATGTTGACCGTTCAACAAATGTAAACATAATAAAAAGCTAAAATAATTAATATTGATGTGGTTGACAGTAATATTATTGTAACAACAGTATTATTACCGTCAACCACACTAATATTATTGCGTTTACAGTAATATTTCAATAGTAGACATTAATATTATTACGTTACTCCGTCAACAACTCAAACAAAACAAAAAAACCCAAAAAAATAATAATATTGATGTGGTTGACAGTAATATTATTGAGTTTACAGTTATTTTAACACAACAAAAGTCATTATTATTGTGTAATAGAGTATGTAGTATTAATATGTTGACCGTTCAGCAAAGGTAACATAAAAAAAGCTAAAAGAATTAATATTGATGCGGTTGACAGTAATATTATTGTTTATTATTGTAACAATAGTAATATTACCGTCAACCACATTAATATTATTGTGTTTACAGTAATATTACAATAGTAGACATTAATATTATTACGTTACTCCATCAACAACTCATACAAAACAAAAAACCCAAAAAATAATAATATTGATGTGGTTGATTTTAATATTATTGTGTTTACAGTTATGTTACTGTCAACGACAGTAATATAATTATGTTGACATGTTATCCCCGAAAGAAGTATTGATGGGTCTCCGAAATAGCCCAAAATTTTTAGGCACCCCTAATTATGATTTAACTCCAAATTTATCCAATATTTCACATTGACCCCAATTTTCATAAAAAGTATAATATTAACCACATTTTAATCCTCGATCTAATATTTTAGAGAGGGAGAGAGAATAGGAGAAGAGAGTGAGCAGAGAGATTTTCAGATACGGAAAAAAGATAGAGAAGAGAAAACGATGCAGGAGAATATTAGAATTGATTAAATTAGGGTTAAGGAAGTTCTAAATTATTAAGGGTATAACTGATCGCGTACTTGTATTAATTACCCAAACTAATAATTCAACGGGTTTTCTCAATTTAAATAAAGAAAAGAAAGAAAAAGAAAAAACAAGAGGGGGCCCAAGTGAACAAATCGTCGGCCAAATCTAATTGAGTTTGGTAATTTGAAAACACAAATAAATTCATTTTTTATTGACAAGAAAAAGTTCAAATGAACAAAGAAATTGAATGTAAAAACGGGTACTCAACTTCAACTCCTCCATTCAAACAACAAAATCCTTTAACCAAATATTGCTTTAAGATGTATAATTGGAAGAGATTCACAAATAAACATTGATTCACCATCACCTAATCTATGTCTCTTGAAAAAACAAATCTAGATTAAAATCCCACTACTATCAAAAGAAGGAAGAAGAACCCCATCTTGCATGCTCAGTACACATCAAGAATAGATTCCTGTTATGCCTTCTGCAATAACTCACCATTTTCGGTCCCCTTCTTGTTATTCCCAATATCTCTCATCGAGACCCAGTTATTTCCTGTTAAGAACGAAAGACCATCAGCCATTTTACCCGTCGCTACAAATTGATTTATGTGTAAGAATGAACAAATAATCTAGAATGAAAGAATGAGAAGAAGAAATGGTTTACAGAGAGTAAAACGGTGAGAGACCAAGAGAGAGAAGAACGCCAATGTCGAAAGAGAGAGAAAATCCCCCAAATTTTAATTACCTTAAATTAAGGGATTCTATTAATCATGGTTTAGTTTATAATTATTTATAACCATTACGTAATTAAAATTGAAAAATGCAATTAAAATTTAATAGGTGCCACATGTCAGCAGGAGATGAGCCCGGTGAAGTTAACCCGGTGCAGCATCGCGGAAACCCGTCCGGTTCCTTCGATGTTACACCCCTTATTTGTAATAGCTCTAATATTTAATAAAGTTGAATTAATAAGAATTAAAAAAGATAAATTCAATGCAATATTGGAAATTTAAAGTGATATATAATATAAAACAAAAATATTTTTCTAAATTGATAGTTATTATGAACGAATGGAGTACTTTAGTTTATTTTTACCCATGATGAATTTAACATGCTAAATAGTACTTAATTAAATAATTAGTACTCCATGAATGTGGAGAAGGGACACGTACCAGTTAACTTTTCTCATCTCTCGGTCAATTTAAAGGGCATTTTTTCATTTTTTCAGGGTATATACGTAATTTTGTACCCCAAATCCCCAATATGCTGATTCTTTGTACGGATTTTTCATCGGTTTTCTCATCTCACCGTCAACTCAAAGGGCATTTCCATCTTTCAGGGTATATACATAATTTTGAACCCAAATCCCCAATATGCTGATTGTTTATATACCCACCATTACACAATTGAGCTCCAAAATTAGGGCTTAATTTTTCTCTTCAAAGAAAACTTGGGTGGTTTTTGTGGATTAAAAACCTAAAAATTGGTGAAAACATTCGACCTCAGAAACCTTTAAAAATCCAGAAAAACGAGCATACGCGGAGACACTTATCTAAGTTATGCTCAATTTTTTGATAAATTCAGTGTTTTCATGCGAAATTCTTGCAAAATAAATGTTTGAAATTAAAAATTGGGGTTGGTCCCTAGATCTAAATTTATTAAATAAAATATTCTACATTTACTAAAAAATGCCATGTATTTATCAAATCCATTATAAGAAAATAATTCATCAACTCCATACTTTCAATTAGATATAGATAGGGCCCACAATAAATATAATTTATATGGGTAAATTACAATGAGGTAGGAAAAATAAATAATTTTATTTGCGTAACTACATCCAATTTTAGGGATAATTACAGTTTTTGTCCTTGCTACTTGTTTGATTTTCATCCCTATTCGATGAGTTGTTTAAAACTTACGGAAAATATCCGTAAAATTGTTAAAAGTTAACTAGTTTCCGAAATTCTGACGTTCTTGGGGCCTAGTTGGGCACTACTCCATCATACACGTGGAGAAGTTTGTGGAGTTCTATTGATCTGGTCAAGAAAGGCATGCGGTGGAGAATCGAAATGGCCGGTCGGTGAGTATCTCGACGAGGGATGAATATTTATTTAATGAAAATATTTTATATAAACTAGGCATAGACATATAATATGTGAAATAGAAACAAGATGAAAACATCAAATATAATTAAAATAGAGAACTCGACTGCGTTGAGGTTCGATACCTATGTAAGATCGACTCCTAGTAACACACACATAAAAAAAATAAAAGGAAAACAAAAAAGAAACTTATGCAAGAAACAAATGCTCAGGTAATATAAACCTGGACTGCTGAGCTGTAATTGTCGTCTTTATACCGGTTGGGAAATAGAGACTATTCCGATATGGAATTAATCTATTGCAATTTACATCAATCTCTGCAAACTCTTCACGCGTCTTCTCATTAGGGCTATAGTAGACAAATTTCTTACGCGCTACTTGAATTACAACCTTATTTCCCACGAAACATATTGGTGTAATCCACAAAAACGGAACCCGGAAATTTCCAACCGTCATAAACTCTTTCCAGTGAGTACTATTCTCCCCGACATCAATGCCTTTTTCCTTTATCCAGATTTGGATACTGTTCTCACGGTAGTTGTATTCGTACAGACATAGGCTTCCTCCCAAAGAACTCGTGTTAATTAAATGAAACTTGTCATCACTTAATTGTTCGGGCTTTTGCAAAATCTTGAGCTCATCGGTTCTTGGATCGAAATACACTAATTGTGGACCTGAAATATTCGTGCTCTCGACGGCCAAAATCCAATAGGTAGCTCCGTCAACGAATATGGCCGCACCTGGAGTACCAAGAATGGTATGGAATTTTGTTCCTAAATACTTTTCGGTCCAAGAATTGTTATTACACGAATAAATTGCATAATTCATTGAATAAACAAAGACAACCTTGAAATCGCCCGTTATTTTGTCATAACAAACCCCGCAATCCACTTCATGATCTTCATTAAACTCACATCGGTTTATGAGAAACATCTGAGAGCGAGTTGATGGATTCCACAGTGCGTACGTATCGTATTCGGACTCGCTGTGGAGGCGGCTGGTCAAGAGTAGCACGCCGTTACATTCGCATAATATTCTGTCGTAGCCATTGGGAATATTCTCGGCCGAGATTTCTCCGGAGTCGATTTTTCCAACATCGAATTTAACCAAAGGAAACCCTCTACCAGTACCATATGTATGCCTACTTAGGAAGAGATTATTATTCGGAGAGTTATTCGAGGATTGGAGATGATTTTGAATGAATAAAGGATCAGAGATTATAGTATTCCATGACTTTGATACCGCTTTGAATCGAAGAAGAGATTTAACTGATGATAATTTTGTAAGTATAATTTCGATTATCTCCGGCGGAATATTTGCTGATGATGTTTTCTCTAATTCTATTGCCATGTCTGTTTTTTTTTTTCTTTTTCTGTGTTTTTTCTTCAACCGTACTATTGGTTCTTTTTAGGGTTTAGGGAGCTTTTTGAGCGGAGAGTGATATCATATGTCTAGGGTTTTTATTCTTAACAATTCTTTCGTCTTTTTTTATGGCCCAGCCCGACATGCAATGTTTTTCGTACGTCCACCTGAAAAAAATACAGATTCTTGTCCGCTGCAAAATTAAACATTAGGTAAAATAGCAGTTTGCCCCCTAAACTAATACCAATCTTCTTTCAAGGGTCAGGAAAAAGCAGCAACATAAATATAGAACTACTATATGACTGAATCATATGAGAACTAGGGCAAAAAATATGACTTGCTTGGTTAATGAAGAGAAATAATGGTTAATACTAATAGCAGCGCTCCTCCAATAATAAAATAGCAAGTCGTCTCAATTATGGAGTTCATCCAGGGGCTGATCTAGGATGAAAAGTTAGGGGGAGCAGGTTAAATTTCCACGGTTTGGGGCAGCACCTCGAAAAAAAATTTAGGTTCACAAAACACTGCAAAAAAAAGTTTATATTGTTAAATTTTAATTCAAATAATACATATTATAATCTTGTCATATTTCAAGCATTCAAAAATACTAATTAATCCAAATCATTATTGCATTTAATTATTTAGGAGTTAAAAACATCGTCCCATTTTGTTTTTTAAAGGTATTAATAAAAGAATAAAAAATAAATACATATTAATATTTTTTATTAAAAATTGTACTAATTTTCACCATTTTATGTTATATTATTATATTAAATATAATAAATATATATATATATATATATATATATATATATATATATATATATATATATATATATATATATATATGGGGAAATTAGTGATAACCCCCTTGTTTTGAAAATATATATGAGGAGGTCCAATAAAATTTCCAGCTCTAGTCAAAAACCCAAATTTTGATCTTAATTAGTGAGACCCCCTGGACAATTTGAAATACCCGTTTTACCCTTTTAGTTTTAAATGTAATATATGCCCTAATCTCTCTCTTTACCCACACGTTTCAATCACCGCCGTTTCTCCCTCTCTCTTCATCTCCCCCTCTTTCTTACTCTCTCTCGCCAGATCTGGCTCCGACAATGAAGAGAAAGAAAAAGCGCAAGCCAAATTCTCCACCATCTGCTACGCAGCCGCACCGCCGTCGAAAAGCTAACCCCTTTCATGATTTTTTTGTGTTTTGTTTGTATTATTTTGTGTAATCTGTGTGAAATTTTTGTTAATTGTTTTAGCTGCTTTTGTTTTCTCTGTCTTTGAATTTCAAATCTCAAGCTATGGATAATTCTCTGTTGCCTGCGTTTTTACACATCACAAAAGTTGATACCTGAAGCTTTGAATTATTTTAATTTGTGAGTCATTAATTGAAATTGATAGTAGTAATCTAGCTTCATCTCTTTCTTAGACTCTCTCTCTCACACACACACACACACACTTTGAAGCACTCTGTGTGGGGGTGATTTTAATTACCAATTACTTGGGGAAGGAATAGTACAGAGGGGAGTGAAAGTGCGTGCGTTGAGTGTGTGTGAGTGTGTGTGAGGGATTGTTGAGGGCTTGTGTTTTGTTTTATTTCATTGATGTGTGTACATGGACTAAATGTTTGAATAATTGTTAGTTTGAGTGTTGATATGCAAATTGTTTCTGGAGTTTGCAGTATCTGTACAAAATGTTTTGTCATTCCCTAAATCAATATATATGCATTCTTTTTGTTTTTTTTTTTGGTGTTTTTTTTTTGTTTTTTTGTTTTTTTTTGTTTTTTTTGTTTTTTAATTTTAAACCGTGTTCATATAATTTGAGTATAATAATGGATATGCTGCATCGTAGAATTTTGGTTTTTCGTTTAACAATAAACATGCTGCAATTTGCTCGTTTTCTCGACATTGTTTGCTCCGAAATCCTCGTATTATACAGTCTTGAATGTTCTTGAATAAATTATGGAGCTTCGAGTGAAGTGCAAATAGCATATATATATAGTCACATATGGTCACATACTTATATATATAGTTATATGTGTAGTCATATATAGTCGCATATGGTCATATACATGTAGTCATATATAGTCACGTGTAGTCATATATATGTAGTCATATATAGTCACGTGTAGTCATATACATGTAGTCATATATAGTCACGTGTAGTCATATATAGTCACGTGTGGTAATATATAGTTATGTATAAGCTATGTACTAACATGTAGTCATGTATGAGTTATGCGAGAAGTATATGCTGGTGATGTATATGTATGTCTGTGTAGATTCAAATTTGAAGAAAAAATCATTGTTTGTTTAACTATTTTTCTTTTTCGCAGGTCTTGGTGTTTGTTTGAATTACAGTAAGTTTTTGCGGAGTGGACTTTGTGTTCGTCGTTCAAAATAAGCTGTACTCGTGTTGAAAAGTGAAATTTCAGTCAAATTTAGTCGTATAGATAACGATATATAACTATAGATGACTATAGTCATGTATAGTTCCATATGGTAATTTATACTTATATACAAGTTATACGGTTTTTCTGATGTATAGTGATCTTGATGATTGTGTTTTTTTTGTTGGGTACTAATTGATTTATAATACAAGATTCAAATTGTGAATTTATTTGTTGCTGCAATTTTTTTTATATATATATGTAACCAATGGTTTACCATAATTTTGGATTAAAAGACTACACATAACTGTGATATACTATAGTCATGTGTAGTCAATTTGGAAATTATCAAAAAAATAAAAAAAAGTGTAGTCAATTTGGATACAGTAAATTTATCAAGAAAATTTAAAAATTAAAAAAAAATAAAAAAATTAAAATATTAAAAAAATTAAAAAAATTAAAAAAATAATAAAATTAAAAAATAAAAAATAAAAAATAAATAAAAATATACGAAAGAGGATATATATAAAAATTAATAATAAATAAACATTTATATTTTTATATTAAAAAAATATATAATAATGATAAATGCAGGTCTATCAATGCTAAATGCAGTCTGTCATAGTGCTGAATGCAGCTGGCAAAATTACTGAGTGCAGTTGGGCAAAATTGCATTTAAGGGCACATTAGTACTTTTACCTCTCTAGGGGTGTATCTCAAAGAAAGATTTTTAGGG